AAAAAGTTCTACAACAAAGAAAGCATGGTCATAGTACACTACTTGGCTCTGCAGTGAGCAACGTTTGCATAATCATCATGATCTAAGCACTAACTATTGAGTCAAGGAAAATTTGTGATATAATCACATTGGGAAGAATGGAAGATGGGAGGTGTGATGTGTGAGAGTTAAGTCCCCATCTATCACAGCAACAAATCAATAGGTATTACCTAAAATCAACGCATCAAGAAATATCACAATACACACATTGTTTAGAAATACAGAGATAAATACCAGGGAAAACAATTGAGTAGCTGAGACCAGTAGCTTCTAGAAAGTTGGCCTATGGGGCGGGGACTGTTACTTTTTATTACAATCCTTTTAGTTCTTTTTAGCTTTTAAAAACATGTACTTGGAATATTTTCATATATTTGGAAAATGCAAATAAATGCTCATAAATAAATAAAGAGGGAGAGAGAGAGAGAAATCAAAACTACCCACAATCTCATTCTCCATTGGTATTTACTATTATTACTTATTGGCACATCTTTTAAAAACAAAATTAAGATTACATTGCATAAACATTTCTGTGTCTCACTTTGTTTCCCCTTAGCATTTCTTCAGGTCACTATTGTCTTTGAAAAATGACTTTAAATAGTTGCTTAGTATTCTGATATATGAATGTATATATAGTTTATGATTTATGGTATATAAGTTATGCTTTGCCCAGTCTCCAATAGCTGAATATTTTTATTGCTTTCATTTTTCACAACAATAAATATTTTAGTGATTATCTTTAATATAAATCTGTGAGGTCTCTTATTGGGTCAATGGGTATGGACATTTTATATATTTATTTATTTTAATAGAAAAGCTCTTTTATTTATTTTTATTTTTTTTAAGTTGAAGCATACAAGTATGGGCACTTTAAGAGCTGATAATACTCGATGCCAGGTTATTCCCCAGAACGACTGTATCAGCTTACACACACTTCCACTAAGACTGTCTACCATCATTGGACATCATCAAATACAACTTTATAACCATGTTAATGCATTACACAATCAAAAAAAGATTAGCAAGATTGGGGGGAAATCCTTAAAATGGAATGCAAACAGAAACAGATGAACCTAAATACATTTCACATTGACAATACTACACTGAAGGGTAATGTTGGGAGATGGGGGAGAAAAACTAACCCAGGCAACCTGGAACACGGTATTTTAATAGATAACCTCTGGCAGTAGACATAAAGAACCATAAACAAATACTGAACACCAACTGGTTGCATTGTGTTTCTGCAGTGGTATGGATTAGCAATTGTGAAATTACTTTCAGTATATATTCTAGGATAGAGCAAATAAATAAATAAATTGTGACTAATAGGAGACATTTTTCTCCTTATTGGCAAAGGGAGTCACACATATGGAAAAAGGGAAGGCTCGAATGAACTCTGTGGTGTTAGATTGGAATTGGAGATATCAGTATGAACTTGTTTTAATTGCACTGTGGCTACTTCTGAAAATGTGCTTGTTTTTAGGAAATATACTCTGAAGTCTTCAGGAGTGAAGGGACATCATGTCTGTAATTTCCTTTCAAATGGTTCAGAAAAAGGTATGTACACATATATATAGAGACAGAGATAGAGAGACATAGACAGAGGTAGAGAGAATGAGGATGATAAACAGAATGAGGTAAAATGGTAACAATTTGGGAATCTGGGTGAAGATTATATAGGGATTCTTTATACTATTCTCTCCACTTTAAGCTTGAAATTATTTCAAAATAAAGTTTTGCCAATTTGATGAGAAAAAAGTATTAGAGTGGTTTTCATTTTACTTTATTAGTAAAGTTGAACACTTATATGTTAATGAAGCATAAAAATTATCTGTATGTTCTGTGCTCATTTTTACGTCATGGTGTTTATCTTTTCCCTACTGATATGTAAAAGCTATTTTTAAATCCTTCATCTGCCATATATGCTGCACTTCTTTCCTGCTTTCTTGAGCCTTTCAATTTTGTTACCAATTTTCTTCTTTAACCTTGGACCGCAGACATATACACTGATTTCTAAAAATCAGAACATGTAGTGCTCTTAGAAATGTAGATATCCATTTTTCATTAGAAATGTAGCTCTCCTGTGTCTCAACTTCATATTAGATAACAGAAAAAAAAAAAAAAAAAAATCTTCGTAATAGAAAATGTATTTTTCTTCTAAAGAAAAAAAAGCTTAAAAAAATCCAAAGCGCTAAGGCTTTTTTTGTTTGTTTGTTTAATAAATATTAGATACTTTGAGACCATGTAGAAATATGATATCCTACAATTTTTGAGCAATCACAAAGTTCATTACCCAGAAATGAATTTAAACAGTTAAATAAAAAACGAATGACTGCTAATGAATACCAAACATTGAATGAAAACCTAATAAATACCTTTTGTTTCAGACACCTGGAATGAGAGTCTTTGTCCTCAAGCATCTCAGTTGAGTAAGGGTGACATGTAGAAACAGGTTGCAATCATTGCCACAAGGACAATAACAGTACGCAGAGGGCAATGAGCATGCAGAAAAGGAGTTTTGTCACTTAGGGGTGAGGTTAGGGAGACCTTCATGGAAGAGGTGATAACTGAACTAAGGAAGCCTCTCAGGATGTCAGAAGACAGCCCTTCAGTCAAAAGGCAAACATGTAAGGAGGCAGTCTTCTTTGCTTTCACCAGTGCATCAGTGTTCTCAGTTTGAAACTTGGAGAATAGCCATGGTATGAACTCATTTCACTGAAGAATGGGTTCTGGTAAAGGTGGATAGGGGCACCGGCGTCAAAGAACAAATTTTGAGATTTCAAGATCCAGGAGGGCAAACAAATAACCAGAGGCTAAGGTGATCACCAAAGATGAAAAGATCAAACACATAAAGGTGATGCTCTCTAAGGAGAGTCAACAACGGGTTAGGAGTAGAGAAGATAACCATGAGATACGTGCTGAAATCATCCAGAAAATGTGTGCATGTGTGTGTGAGTGTGTGTTCTTCCTGGAGACTGGGAAGAGAATTAGGACGAGGAAAAACCAGAGCATGATAAAATCGCCCGATCTCAAAAGGACAGAGATCGCTTTGTTGTGATAGGACAATAGCTGGAAAATGAAAACAGGGGATTAGGAGTATTTTTGAGGGAAGTTTGTGTGGGAAAAAGTGGCGTCCAGGAAGGAAAGTTGGGTGTCCCTTAAGGCGAGGTCTTGGAAGGGAACCAGCGAGAAAAGGTGGAGGTTTGGGGAAACAGGTTTATAGTGGGATAGGGCTTCCCCAGGGTTCCTTTGTAGGAAGCTGCTAGAACAGAAAAGTGGCGTCCAGGAAGGAAAGTTGGGTGTCCCTTAAGGCGAGGTCTTGGAAGGGAACCAGTGAGAAAAGGTGGAGGTTTGGGGAAACAGGTTTATAGTGGGATAGGGCTTCCCCAGGGTTCCTTTGTAGGAAGCTGCTAGAACAGACGGGGTGGAGCATGTGCTGAACCTGGAGAAGAATGTCCTGAGCTGGATAGGAAGGAGAGTATGAGGGGTGGGCTTATTTGGAGGCCATCTCGAGGTCCATAACTTCAAAGGGAGAAGGGATGCTGATCAGGTAGCTATTTGTGATGGGAGTACTCGGTAGCGTTATTCAGCCTGACCATCCACTGTGTCCTCACGTCTGACGGGCGCAAGGACGCATGAGGGGTTCCACAGGGGTTCTTTGGGACACTCAACTTCCCAGGGCCAAAGAGATCCTGGGGAACCAGAGCTCTATCCGCCCATCTCCCAGACAAGAACCGCGAGGCCCACAGGGGGTGCACGGCCTGCGTGGGCCACCGAGCTAGCTCAGCCCTGAGCCCGCCCGGCGGCGCCCTTCCTCCCGCACAGCGTCTCCCCGGCGCGCACACTGTGGCCGTCCGAGCCCGCGGCCGCGCGCTGCACCTGCGCGTCTGGGTCCCGGCCGCCGCCCCGCGCCCTAACCGAGCCAGGTAGGGGAAGTCCGGCGCCCACGGCAGCCGGAGCGCGCGCCAGGCTCTGCGTCAACCTCGGCGACGCCTGACTAATTCTGGACCCGGCTGGTTAGAGGAGTCAC